GTACCACTAACGGAGCTGTTGGGGGACGAGGGACTCACGTGGTTGGTGCTGGAGCTGCATCTGGCCATGCCACGAGCAGCAGTAGCAGTAGAAAGAGCAGTAGCAGCAAGAGCAGCAGTAACAGACGGGGCAGTGCTCACCAGTGGCGAGAAGGGCAGGCGTACGACGGCGGCAACGGCGAGGCCGCTACCACTGCAGGACGAGGGCTCCGTGGCTGCTGTAGGGGCAGCTGCTGCAGAGGTGGGTGCTCCAGGGGCGGCTGCTGCAGGGGCGGCTACTCCAGGGGCGGCTGCTGCAGGGGCGGCTGCTCCAGGGGTGGCCGCTGCAGGGGTGGCTGCTCCAGGGGCGGCTGCAGCAGGGGCGGCTGCTCCAGGGGCGGCTTTTGCAGGGGCGGCTGCTCCAAGGGCGGCTGCTCCAGGGGCGGCTGCTGCAGGGGCGGCTGCTGCAGGGGCGGCTGTTGCAGGGGCGGCTGCTGTAGTGGCGGCTGCTCCAGGGGCGGCTGCTGCAGTGGCGGCTGCTCCAGAGGCGGCTGCTGCAGGGGCAGCTGCTCTAGGGGCGGCTGCTGCAGTGGCGGCTGCTCCAGGTGCGGCTGCTGCAGTGGCGGCTGCTCCAGGGGCGGCTGCTGCAGTGGTGGCTGCTCCAGGGGTGGCTGCCGCAGGGGTGGCTGCTCCAGAGGCGGCTGCTGCAGTGGCGGCTGCTCCAAGGGCGGCTGCTGCAGGGGCGGCTGCTCCAGGGGCGGCTGCTGCAGTGGCGGCTGCTCCAGGGGCGGCTGCTGGAGTGGCGGCTGCTCCAGGGGTGGCTGCTAGAGTGGCGACTGCTCCAGGGGCGGCTGCTCCAGGGGCTGCTGCTGTAGTGGCGGCTGCTCCAGGGGCGGCTGCTGCAGTGGCGGCTGTTCCAGGGGCGGCTGCTGCAGTGGCGGATGCTCCAGGGGCGGCTGCTGAAGTGGCGGCTGTTCTAGGGGCGGCTGCTGCAATGGCGGCTGCTCCAGGGGCGGCTGCTGCAGTGGCGGTTGCACCAGGGGCGGCTGCTGCAGTGGCGGTTGCTCCAGGGCGTGGGTTAGGGCAGGGCGCCGCGGCGGGCCGGGGCGACGAGGGAGCCGCAACGGGGCCGCGAGGGAGCCGCGACAGGGCCACGAGGGGCCTGGAGAGGGGCCGCGGAGGGGCCGCGACGAGCCACGAAGGGCCGCAAGGGGCCGCGAACGGCCGCGGAGGGGCCGCGAGGGGCCATGAGAAGGGCCGCGAGGGGCCGTGAGAGGGGGCCGCGAGGGAGCCGCTAAGGGGCCGCGAGGGGCCGTGAGAGGGGCCGCGAAGGAGCGGCTAAGGGGCCACTAAGGGCAGGGGACGCGGGGCGCGACTCGGGCAGGGGTGAAGCGCGCTCCGGGCAGGATTTTTTTTTTTTTTTTTTTCCGGATTTTCGGTGGGCCCTAGGAAACGCTCCCACTAGGGAACCTGCTCTATACCATGTAAAGAAACGAGGAATGAATTCACTAGGCAAAATGTGGGTACAAGTAGGAAACCCTAGAAAAGTGTTGTACCCCATATGTTGAGATTTTTGTGACACTGATTTTTTCAGCCTTTACTTCATAGCTAACACTGATGTTTCAGACTTTTATCGAAGTGTACACTGAATGCACGTTCCGAATCCTTCCCGTAAAACACCCGAGACAATAAGTCAACCAACATTTCCGCATTATAATCTCTTCTGTAAAAAATACTGATCGTTGACTCGATGAACAGGCTTAGTGGTTAGCGAAGTAGATCCCGGTTACCGGTTCGAACACCCCAGCGGAATTCGGTCGACGGAGCCGAATTGCCAGTGTCGTCGAGGGGGGTCGTCCAAGCCTGGGCTGACGAGGCGGAGCACTGACGCACGTGCGGGCCCGTCAGCCTGGCCCAGAGCTGGGCTGAGCGTACGACCGCCGCCCCGCAGCCCCGCTCCGAATGTGAACAACGGCCCACGTTACCGCATGGGGTCGGCGAACTCGCGACAGCTCGCGCGTGGGAAAATTACCCTCGCGCAAAGGCAGCCCACACGTGCCACCTGCCCGCGAGGTCCTAGTAACCCATCGCGGCCTGCCCGGACGGGCAGGCGAGGGCCAGGCGAAAATTCGTGGCCCCCTCGGGACACTCGACAACTTCGCGCCCCGTTGCGGTGACGCCACGTGTTCGCCCGCTACTTCACATCGGGAAACATGCAGAATCTGGGACATTGCGAATTCGATTTCGATTGCTTCGCGGCGCACATTTTTCGCTTCGGGACATGACATCGACTTGCTGGATCGGAGGCGAATGAGAACTTGTGCCACTTGTGCACGAGCCCGCCAAACCCCGCCGAGGCAGGCACCACGAGGGCCGGGCGATGCCTCGACCGTTCCTGTGGGGCACCGACCCCCTTTTCTTGGTGGAAGGGGGCATCGCTCCTCATTTTCGGCATCTCGTTTCCCTTTCCACCTTTTCCCCAGCTCTGCACCTTCTCCCACATTCACGTCCCTTAGCCTGTAGCCGCTTCCCTTCCCCGCCATGTCGGCCGCCCCGAAAGTCGGCGAAGTGACGCTGACTTCGCAGGACTTCCCTCTGTATCTCGACCTGGGTAGTGGACTCACTGCCAAGCTCAACGAACACGACTACGCCATCCTCGTAGACCATAGGCTAGAGTTCAACGCCCGTTGCTTGGGATTTGGCCTCAAGTGAGTGTCCGTATTGGGATGTCGGCGTTGACCGCTGGATACCTTGCTGGTCAACGTTGTTAGGGTTGTCCCACGTTTTGGTCGGCGCTACTAGTTTAGGGTTTAGATCACTACTCGGCAAGGAAGACCACTCATGCTTTGCTACGGTGTTCGACGCCAACGTAGCTGTTATCCCCCTGCATTTGAGGTGAGCCTAAGTCATGATGGTGTGCCATGATGCCTATGTCGCTGCTCCGTTCTGATAGACGTCGTGGTGCCTAGCCTGTGCAGCATCGCACCGCTTCCAGGAGCACATTGCAGCGTCGTGGTCATCCTGTACCCCGGCGACTTGTTGCGGGCCGGGGGGGAGACGATCAGGACCTCGGTCCGGCACTTTGACCCGCAAACCGTGAAGCAGTGGCACCGCGACGAGGCGATCCGCGTGCTGAAGTGAGCTCAATAGTGTAGTCGACGACGCATGCAATTTCGCCGCTGGGCGTTAAGCAAGTCTACTGACGATATGTGCCATGTTGCTTCAGGTTTTTCCGAGCGGCAGTGATGGCCGAGCTCGGCCGCGATGGCCGGCAGTGGGAGTGGCCGAAGCCTTTTGCTGAAGAGGTGGCGGACAGGCTCGCCGACTGCGATGAACCCGTTCGAGATGTGAGTACCGATCGTTTTACCGTCCTAGCGCGATGCCATTGCCGCCGTCGGTGCTCATCCTTGCTCTCTGCTCTGTTGTTTGCAGAAAGTGCGCGACACCGTCCGGGACAGCGACACGGGCTCCGGCCTCCTATCAATGAGCGCGCTGTGCTGGGTGGTGAAGAGGATGGATCGCCTGACCGGCGACGACCGTCGCAGTGCGACCAGCATAGACAAGGTCCTCGTTTCAGAGTTGAAGGAGCTGCAGATTCGGATGATCACATTCATCAAGGAACACATCGCACGCAAACGGTCAGGCCATGTCGGAGTTGCTGCCGATGCCTGTGACGACGACGCCGCGGAGCCCCCTTCGGCATCCCAAGCAGTCGGTGTCGCCGACACCAGCGGAGAGGCCGGAGACGGCGCCGCCAAGGCAGATGAGGAGGCAGTATGGGATGTGGCGAGGACCGCGGATCAGGAAAAGGAGGAGGAGGAGGAGGAAGACACCAACGATCAGGATGATAACGAGGAGGATCGTGAGGAGCGTGAGCAGTGGCATGGGCAGGAGGAGGAGGAGGAGGAGGAGGAGGAGGAGGAGGAGGAGGAGGAGGAGGAGGAGGAGGAGGAGGAGGAGGAGGAGGAGGAGGAGGAGGAGGAGAAGGAGGAGGAGGCGGCGGCGGCGGAGGCCGTGGAGCAGGGTTTCGGATCGGTGGAGCAGGTGGCGGAGGGGGAGAAGCAGCAAGAGGGGGAGGAGGAGGTAGAGTTCACCTGGGTCGAATTCGAGATGGAGGCTGTTGAGGGAGCGACGGCAGTGGCCGTGGAGGGAGCGGCGGCGCCCGTGGAGGGAACGGGTGGGATGTCGGCGGATGTTGTGTACGTGCGAGGGGAGGGTGCCGATGTGGAGAATGTCGGCGTGGAGGAGGCGCACGTGGTCGGCAATGTGGTTGGCGACGCGAAGGAGGAGGATAACGCCGCGGCCCCGACGCCGACGGGCGTGGAGACCACCACACGGAACGCAGGGGTGGAACGCCGGGGTGGAGCGGTAGAGGCGGGCTGTGAACCGGGTTCCTCAGCAGCTGGTCGGCAGACAGCGCCGGCCGTCGTCGCGCAGCTGCGACAGGAGAACAGGTGGCTGAGGGCTGAAAATGCTCGTCTCGAGACGGCGCACGGAGTGGAGAGGGGTCGGGTGGACAGGTTTGCGATGGGGATTGGCCGCCTCGTGGACAAGCTTAGGTCGTTGGCCGACCAGGTCGCCGCCTCCGACCTGGACGCGGCGAGTCGGCTGATGGACGCGTCCTTGACCATGGCGACGACCGTCACGGAGAACATCACCGCCAACATGGGTGAAGCATGGGATGCGATGAAGGCGTACGCCGAGAGGGCGGAGCGCTGGTTGGACGATCTAGAGAATCCGGAGGGGTTTATGGCGGTGCAACATGCGAACGCGGTCGTCGCCATGGGCAACCACGTGGACGAAGCGAGGAAGGGATTGGAGGAATACATATCAAAGCACCTAGTCGCCGCGCAGACCAACATCGCCGTCGCGGTAACTCAACGCGTCGCCGTGCCGCCGCCCACACCGCCCGCCCCACCGCCAGCCTTCCCGGACGAGCTCATGAAGTCTTTCAAGGCGGACGTGTTGAAGGCAGTGACTGAGGCCACCCAGTAGTCGTTTGTTGCGTCCGGGTTAAACCTCATGACCGAGGTGATCGGCAATCTAGCGCCTGGTCGGCTTGGGTCGTCGCCGTCAGCCAACGAGGCCGACAAGAAGGGTGCGAAAAGGGCGGGCGGCGGAGATGATGCGTTGAGCTCAAAGCGGAGCAAGGGAGCCGATGGGAGCCGCGGCGCCGGCCAGGTGGGTCCAGGCGGCTCGCGGACCAAGGGAGCCGATGGGAGCGGAGGTACGAGCGTGGTAGACCAGCTCAAGAAGAACGTGGCCAAGGTGATAAGGACGCACAGCAAGGGCGATGGAATCAGGAGTGTGGAGGGGGCCCCCCCGACCAGGTTGCCGCTCAAGAGGCAGGACCAACAGCCCCGCCATTGGTCAACGAGAAGCCGGCCAGTCTAGCGACCGCACCAGCGGCGATAGATGGCGGCGCCAAAACCGTCAAGGGACCGTCTGGCGGAGTGGCGGGGACCACGTCGATTCCCCGCAAACCCCCTGCGGCTAGCAGCGCGCCGGTCGCCCCGTCAGCTACCAACAACGATGGGCCATCCCTTGCGGCTACTCTAGCACCAGCAGGCACGTCTGCCGCCAAGGTTGACGCGGTGGATGTTGCGGCTAACCGCGCTGGTCCGTCCGCCCCAAAGGCGAACGCGCTCAGGGAAATGCTCCGCCGCATGGAGACCCATCGACAGGACGTGCAGCAGCCTCCCGTGGTCGGTACCGCGCCGGCCACAACAGCACGTCACTCGGTCACTCCGCAGGTTGCCGCCACAACGTCCAATGCCCCACCTACCGCACCTATCATCGCCGCCCGTCCTCCTGTGGACCCAAAGTCCGCCTTCCTTCGTGCCCGGCTAGGCGCACGTACTGCAGCAGCGCCAGCACGGGCTCAGCCGGTATCCAGCTCAAGCGCGACGTCGACGTCGGTAACCGTAGCTGCACCCACACTCGGTGCGGCTACTGTCAAGGCAGTGGCGGAGAAGGGCGTGAGTGCAGCGCTAGCCACGGGCGGCGGATCAGTTGACCCTGCACAGGCGGCAAAGGACCACAACGACGCCGATATCGCTGCCATCTAGTACTTGTTGGAAGCGGTAAACCGCCCCAAGTAGCCCCTTGTTCTGGCCATCTCGGACTCGGCGCATGTGGAGAACGCGGCGAGTCCCACCGGTTGTACAGCGGAGCCAAAGACGACCACTGCTGCGATCGGCGCGGGAAATTCGAAACGGAAGGGGACGGTCGACGCAAGGAAAGCGAGGCCGAGCTCGCAGAAGAAAACACGGGCGACGTCGGTGAGGGTGAAGTTGGTGGAGAAAGGACAGGGGATGGCGACGGCGATGGTGAAGGAGAAGGCGGCGGAGAAAGGGAAGGAGAGGGAGAAGGAGAAGGAGGAGAAGGAGAAGGAGAAGGAGGAGGAGGAGGAGGAGGAGGAGAAGAAGGAGAAGGAGAAGGAGGACAAGAAGGAGAATGAGAAGGAGGAGGAGGACAAGGAGAAGGAGAAGGAGGAGGAGAAGGAGGAGGAGGTGGAGGAGGCGGAGGTGGAGGAGGAGGAGGAGGCGGCGACGGAGGAGGAGAAGGTGAAGGTGAAAGAATGGAAGGGTCATGGCATCCTCCACGACACCACGGACGACAAGCAAGGGTGGGTGGGCGAGATTAAGGTGGTCGGGAACGAGAGTAGATACATCGGCAAGTCCCGCGAGAAGATGGAGCTGGCTTACCTTCACTCGATTGTGTACCTCCTCTACGACGGTTACGTCAGCAAGATCCTCATGGCCGAGCTCATCGGCTTGGAGGAAACAGTGATGAAGCAGTCGAGGGCGGTGTGGGAGGAGGTCCGGTTCTCACGGGGCGCGTTCCTCCCAAAGACACGGTAAGTCGGATAAACGTCGGCCAAGCGATGATGTCAACGTCGGCGTTCCTAATGGTCGTCCAGTTTCGTGTGATTGCGTGACAGGTTCGATGATATCCTCGGGAAGTATCGAGCGTACAAGACATCAGGCGATGCGCACCATGACGCGCTTTTGCCCGCGATCTGGTTCCCCGTCGATGCCGACACGAAGGAAGGGAAGCAGAAGTCGGATGCAATGATGTCGGCCATGATTGAGCGCGTGTCCTTGTGCGCTGCGTATGGGAAGGTCGCTGCATCCGCGGCGAGAAAGGAGGGCGACACGGATCAGACGACGGCGAAGGTCGCACAGGCGCTATCGGCCTCCGCTTGCGCCCTGTGGTGCTTAGTCGAGGGCGACGGCGCCCAGGTGGCTGATGCCGTGCGCGAAGGGAAGGCAGCGGCGATGGTGGTCGCCGCGAGCGAGACTACCGCTGCCGAGTTCAAGAAGGTCATGACGGCGGTGCTGGAGGCCGCGATCAGCAGGCAGCAACCCCTCGGGGAGGTTGCGCACAACGTTGCACCGGCGCTGGAGTCCACGGCTCTGGCTAAAGCCTATCCGGGGTTGGATGTTGAAGCCGAGGCCAAAGTGATTGCACGAGCGACGGTGGAAACCCTCGCGTTCTGGGGAATGTGCCCCGTGGATGGGCCGAAACTCAAGAAGATCGGCATCGCGGTGCCGCTTGACGCGCAGATGGAGTACGATATCAAACACAGGGGGAGGAAGAGGCAGAGGGGCAAGCAGGGCAAGGACAGCTCGGGGAAGAAGGGGAAGAAGGGCAGAGCGGGCAAGGACAGCACGGCGGCGTAGTCGGCATAACAATCTGCCATGGGCGGCAGGAGGGAGCGCAAGTAGGTCTTGTTGCTAGTATGGCCTGGTATGGGCGGCGTCGATTGTGTAGTTTTTGTTGGGATTTCTTTTCGTTTGTGGTTGCGTATTTCTCTTGTTGGCTGTAACTTTTTTGGTAGTGCATGTTACTAGAACACTCCTCGGCAAGGTCGACCTGATCACTACCATGTTACTCAAATGCGACACTGCAATGAACCCCGTCGGCGTATAACAACTCGGCGTCGTACGGTGTCGACATAGTGCGTCTGGCTGTATGCATCTATTTACTCGGCGATGAGCCTCGTAGGCTAGACCGGGATGGTTAATGGTCGGCGCTTTGGGGAATGTGCCCCGCCGCCCAGGTGGCCGAAACTCGAGGAGGTCGGCATCGATGTGCCGTTTGACGCGCATATCGAGCGGGCATAGACAGCACGGATGCGTAGTCGGCGCGCGGAGGGAGCGCTAGGTGGTATGATTGCTCGGTTATAGCGTGATCGGCGCCGTTTGTGCCGTTTGCATGCATGTAACTGTCAAACATCATATATGTTGTGCTTGTTTAGGCTACAGTGGGTTAGCCTATAGGGGGTACACAATTCCAGGGTTAGGTACTTGTACTGATTTCACTGTTAGTTCATTCATTCCTACCTGTTCATTTCAACATGGTATAGAGCAGGTCCTTCGCTAGGACCGTGTTTAGGGCCCACCACTACCTACCTACCTAACTGAGCCCTAGGGCGCCTCGTTTTTTCACGGCCCCTAGAGGCCCCAAACGGCCGCGCGCTCGCCCTTAGCGGCCCGTTATGGCCCCGCGCTCGCCCCTAGAGGCCCCGATCGGCCCCGCGCTCGCCCTTAGCGGCCCCTTACGGCCCCGCGCTAGCCCTTAGTGGCCCCAATCGGCACCGCGCTCGACCCTAGAGGCCCCGATCGGCCCCGCGCTCGCCCTTAGCGGCCCCCCTTCGACCCCGCGCTCGCCCTTAGCGGCCCCTTACGGCCCCGCGCTCGCCCCTAGAGGCCCCGATTGGCCCCACGCTCGCCCTTAGCGGCCCCTCACGGCCCCGCGCTCGCCCTTAGAGGCCCCGATCGGCCCCGCGCTCGCCCCTAGAGGCCCCGAACGGCCCCACCCGGAACGAGCCGCCCGACCCGAGCAGCCCAGCCCGAACCGAGCCGCCCGAACCGAGCCGCCCAGCCCAAACCGAGCCGCGCTGCCCGAACCTAGCCGCGCCGCCCTTACCGAGCCGCGCCGCCCTACCAGGACCGAGCCGCCCTACCTGTCTTTGGGGTGCCCCTACTGCTTTTCCTCCTACTGCTGCTATTACTCTTACTACTGCTATGGCTAGCCCTCCTGTGCTAGCTTTCGATGCTGAGGGCCGCCCAGTGAAGTTCGAAACCTGGCTTGATGACCTACACCTCATCCTACAGCTCACTGCCAAGGAAGACATCTCACTGTACGATCATGCCCTAGGCCACGCTAATGCTCCTGCTGCTACTGCTGACAGCACTGCCCGCTCACAGTGGCAGACCCGTGACGCCCACGCTCGCCTCGCTATTCGCAACTCCCTGTCGATAGATGAGCGCGAGCACTTTGGGCAGCACAAGTCTGCACAGGCACTGTACACTGCTGTCGTTGCCCGCTACTCCTCACCGGCCTCTGCCGCACTAGGCCGTCTCTCTCTTCCCTACCTGTTCCCCGACTTAGCCTCGTTCCACACAGTCGTTGACCTCATTACGCACCTCCGCACTAGTGAGGCTCGCTTCCGCGCCGCCATGCCTGATGAGTTCCTTGCCAAGAACCCCCCCCCGCTCTGGCTCACTCTCTACCACCTAGTCACCCGCCTCCCTGACACTCTGCGTTCAGTTAGGGACCACTTCCTAGCTCGCTGCCCCACTGAGCTCACCATTGCCCTCCTCGAGAAGGAACTGCTTGCAGCTGAGGCTAGCATAGTCGCTGTAGGCGCCTCTTGTGGCGACCCCCGCACCCCGTTCTTTGAGGGGTGTTCTCCTTCCCCCCTTCTTCCCTCTGTCGCCTCTGCTGCTGCTGTCGACCTCCTTGGTGCTGAGAATGTCGGGACTGCGTCTGCTTCGAGCGAGCGCCGCAGCCGCAAGGGCAAAGGGGGCAAGGGAGGCGGAGGTGACGGCAGGGGAGGCGGTGGTGGGGGCGGTGGCGGCGGTGGGGGTGGTGGCGGGGCTGGGGGGGCGAGTGGCAGCGGTGGGGGTGGTGGCGGCAGCGGAAGGGGAGGTGGCAGGGGCGGGGGCGGTGGTGGGGGTGGCGGTGGACGCGGCGGCGGCACGGGTTGGGGTGGTCGAAGAGGTGGTGGCGGAGGTGGTGGTCGTGGAGGCGCTAGCGGTGGCCAGGGCCAGCAGCACACTCCGTCGCACCAGGAAGTCCGTGAGTGGTACTCTCAGCACGGAGAGAGCGGGGGGGTGGCTTTAGATGCACGTACGTCATTCGCACTGGTGACCGCACTGGCCAGCCATGTGGGGGACCGCACGCCACACAGCGCTGCTTCGCTCGTCTCAACGACGCTTGGCGTGTTCAGTTCCCTCAGGCCACTGAGCTGCTCCGCTGGGTTGATCTCTTGAAGAAGGGGATTGATATCTATGCCCTAGACTTTGATGCTATTCTCACTGCTATGTATGTTATGTCTACTAGTGGAGAGGGTGCTGAGTACCTGTGTGTCCTGCCCGACACGGGCATTAGGACTAGTGCGTCTGCCGCTCCAGGTACTCGCGTTTTTGCTACCCCAGGTGCTGGTGAGGCAGCTGCTCTAGGTGCGTGTGCGTCTGCCCCCCCTAGTACTGAGTCGACTGCAGCACTGCACACCTTCACACTGGACTCAGTTGCTTCTCGGTGCTTCTTTCGTGACTGCACTGCCCTTGAGCCACTTGCTCGGCCAGTTGCTGTCTCCCTCGCTGACCCCTCTGGGGGTCCGGTCATTGCGACCTCCTCCACTGTCCTTCCCTGTCCTGCGGTCCCGTCTGGCACACTGTCAGGTCTCCACCTCCCCTTGTTCTCTGCGAACTTGGTGGCAGGTTGTGCACTCCAGGACGGGGGTGTTCACCAGTTCACCCCTGCCTACGAGCGTGTGACACACTGCACGTGTGCTCGTACGGGCCGCCACTTGGCTACCTTCACTCGGCAGCCGGGGTCGGACGTGTACACACTGACCACTGGGTCCCCTCAGGTCGCTGCGTCTGTGTCTGCGTCCGCGTCAGGTCAGCTGTCTGCCCCCTGCTCGTGTCGCTCTCTGGCGCACAAGACTGTCCTCTGGCACCACCGACTTGGCCACCCGTCTGTGCAGCGCCTTCGTGCCATGCACTCTAGGTACCTTGTCTCTGGTCTTCCCAAGGTCCTCCCTCCACTCCCACCCTCGCCTGCTCCTCCTTGTCTTCCCTATGTCGAGGGGCGGCAGCGCGCCGCTCCTCACTCCTCCTCATTTCCCCCGACGACTGTTCCCTTGCAGACGCTCCACATGGACGTGTGGGGCCCAGCCCATGTCCGTGGTCAGGGTTAGGAGAGGTACTTCGTGATAGTTGTTGACGACTACTCGCACTACACCACGGTCTTCCCCTTGCACACCAAGGGTGAGGTCCCTGATGTCTTGATCCCTTGGATCTGCAGAGCCCGTCTCTGGCTCAGCGAGCGTTTCCACTCGGACTTTCCTGTCCTGCGCTTGCACTCTGACAGAGGTGGTGAGTTCTCCTCCGACCTCTTGGCAGCCTACTGTGCTGAGCACGGCATTGAGCAGTCGTTCACGCTTCCGGCCTCTCCACAGCAGAATGAGGTTGCGGAACGCCGCATTGGCCTGATCATGGAGGTCTCCCGTACCTCCCTGATCCATGCGGCTGCCCCCCACTTTCTGTGGCCGTTTGCGGTCCGGTACGCTGCGCATCAGCTCAACCTCTGGCCTCGTGTCTCCTTGCTAGAGACCTCGCCCACACTGCTGTGGACGGGGGAGGTTGGCGATGCGTCGCGTTTCCGGGTCTGGGGATCTCAAGCTTTTGTCTGCGATACATCTGCGGACAAGCTCTCCTCCCGTGCTGTTCCCTGCGTCTTCCTCGGCTTTGTCCCGGACGCGCTTGGTTGGCAGTTTTACCACGCCACCTCGCGCCAAGTCTTGCCCTCTCAGGACGTCACTTTTGACGAGTCCGTCCCCTACTACCGCCTCTTCCCCTACCGCACTGCCCCCGTCCCCCCCCTGCCTCTCTTCCTCGCGCCAGGTGATGATGTCGTAGACCCCCTCCCCCCTCAGGGTGCCGCTCCCTCAGGTGTGTCTCAGGTAAACCCGGGGGAGCCTGTTGAGGTAGCTGTCGACTCTCGCCCTGCTGCGAGTGCGGAGCCTGGGGGTGCTGAGCCTAGGGGTGCGGAGCTTGGGGGTGCTGAGACTAGGAGTGCTGAGCCTGGGGGTGCTGAGCCTGGGGGTGCTATGCCTTGGGGTGCTGAGCCTGGGGGTGCGGAGCCTGGGGGTACTGAGCCTGGGGGTGCTGAGCCTGGGGGTGCTGAGCCTACGGGTGCTGAGCCTGGGGGTGCGGAGCCTGGGGGTGCTGAGCCTGGGGGTGCTGAGCCTAGGGGTGCGGAGCCTGGGGGTACTGAGCCTGGGGGTGCTGAGCCGCGGAGTCCGGAGTCTGGGGGTTCTGAGTCTGGAGGCCTTGTGCCTGAGAGTCCTCCACCTGGAGGAGCCCTCTCCTTGGAGCAGCTGCGTGCGTGGTACTTACAGTACTGCAGCCTCAGGAGAGGTACCTCTGGAGCCGGGCGTACTACTGGGGCTGGTGCTAGTGCTTCTCCTCCTAGCCAGGAGCTCCCCTCCCATGAGCAGATCCGTGAGTGGTACGAGCGGTGCTGCACTGTTCGGAGTGGCGCGCCTGGTGTCACGGACCCTGCTGCTGCTCGTGCTGCGGACCCGGGCGTTCAAGCTGCTGCTGGTACTGAGGACACGGGCGTTGGTGCTGCTGCTGGTGCTGTGGCGTCGGGCGTTGGAGCTGCTGCTAGTCCTGCCGGCCCAGGCGTTGGCGCTCCTACTGGTGCTGAGGACCCTGGAGCTGGTGCTGCTGCTGGTGCTGTGGAGTTGGGCGTTGGAGATGCTGCTGGTGCTAGGGACCCGGGTGGTGGAGCTGCTACTAGTGCTGAGGACCCGGGAGTTGGAGCTGCTGCTGGTGCTGAGGACCCTCGCGCTGGTGACTCTGCTGGTTCTGGAGTCGCTGCACGGCGGCGGCCGTACTTCGTTCCGCTCCTTCAGCAGGTTCTTGGTCTCCCGCCTTCTCCCAGTCCTCCTCCCTCAGAGTGTCCACAGCCTGTCCAGTCACAGTTAGAGCTACGGCCCGTCTCCCCACTGCCTGCTCCTTCTCCCTACACTGGGTCTACTGGAGGTCTTGCTGAGCGTCGTGAGCCTGCGTCCCGCCCTGCGTCGCCTGTCCGTACTGCTCGCACTAGTGGTTGTGGTTCGCGTCAGCGTCCTCCTCCTGTCCCTGGCATGCACTGGATGTCTCTGCGTCTGTCCACTGCTCCTCTGCGTGCCCCTTTGCCTTCTCCTCCTGAGTCCTCTCTTCTTGCTCTTCCCGACCCGGAGTCGGACTCTCTTCGTGCTGCCAGTCCTACTGTCACGCGTCTCCTTGCTACTGTCATCGCTGACCCTTCTTTTGAGTCCACTGCTGCGTCTGCCCTAGTTGCTGAGCTCGTCGACTTTGCTGCTCGCTGACGTCTAGACTTCGCTGCTAGTCTTGTCGCTGGGTCTGAGTCTGTCTGTCCTCTGTCCGTCGGGGGTGAGTGTTCCCTTGGCACGGACGTCCTTGAGGACAGGCAGGAGGAGTTCTAGTGCTTGGCCGCTGCTTCACCTCATCTCGTGTCCGTACTGCTTACCCCTGAGGGCGACCCGGATGCACTTGACATCCCGACTCCGCGCTCTTACGCGGAGGCGATAGAGGGTCCCTACTCTTCTCAGTGGCAGGCAGCTATGGATGCAAAGATGGCTTCCTGGAAGTCCACAGGCACCTACGTTAACGCTGTCCCCCCTCCTGGGGCGAACATCGTCAGTGGCATGTGGATTTTCAGGGTGAAGCGGCCGCCGGGTTCTCCGCCTGTCTTCAAGGCGCGTTACGTGGCTCGTGGCTTAAGTCAGCGGCAGGGAGTTGACTACTTTCAGACCTTCTCTCCCACCCCGAAGATGACCACTCTTCGGGTACTGCTGCACGTTGCTACTCACAGTGACTACGAGCTGCACTCTCTTGACTTCAGCACTGCTTTCCTGCAAGGCAGCCTGCATGAGGAGATCTGGCTGCGCCGCCCACTTGGCTTCACTGGGACTTTTCCTCCTGGCACCCAGTGGAGCCTCCGGCGGCCAGTCTACAGTCTCCGCGAGGCACCGCGTGAGTGGCACGACACACTGAGGACTACACTTGCGGCTCTTGGGTTTGCTCCTTCTACTACTGACCCGTTGTTGTTTCTGCACACCAACACTTCTCTGCCACCGTTCTACATCCTCGTGTACGTCGACGACTTGGTCTTTGCCACAGCTGACACTGCTGGACTCGCCTACGTGAAGTCCGAGCTACAGAAGAGACACACGTGCACAGACCTGGGTGAACTGCGCAGCTACCTTGGCTTGTAGATCACCCGGGACAGAGCACGCCGCACCATCACCCTGACTCAGTCACACATGGTGCAGCAGGTCCTTCAGCGCTTCGGCTTCACGTACTCCTCGCCTCAGGCCACTCCTCTGCCTACTCGCCACTCGCTCTCAGCTCTGCCTTCGGATGAGTCCGTAGAGTCGAGTGGCCCGTACCCAGAGCTTGTTGGCTGCCTCATGTACCTGATGACCTGCACACGACCTGACCTTGCATACCCTCTTAGCATTCTCGCACGCTATGTTGCTCCTGGGAGACACCGACCAGAGAACATGGCTGCAGCAAAGAGGGTGTTGCGCTACTTGTGCAGTACGTCGGGCATGGGGCTAGTGCTTGGAGGGCGGAGTCCAGTGGTCCTCACTAGTCACGCAGACGCTTCTTGGGCTGACGACCAGGCTACGCAGTGGTCGTCACAGGGTTACACCTTCATCCTTCGTTCCGGCTCTGTTTCGTGGCGAGCTACTCGCTCGTCTTCTGTTCTCGGCTCCACTTGTCAGGCTGAGATCTACGCAGGGGCCATGGCTGCTCAGGAGCTTTGCTGGCTCACCTACCTGCTGACTGACCTCGGAGAGCCGCCTCGTTCTCCTCCAGTCTTATACGTAGACAACAAGGCCATGCTGGCCTTGTGTCGAGAGCAGAGACTTGAGCACAGAACAAAGCACATTGCTCTCCGCTACTTCCTTGCTCGTGAGCTACAGCAGCGTGGTCAGTTGCGGCTTGCGTACGTGGCCTCTGAGGCCAACACTGCTGATGTCTTCACTAAGGCACTTGCGCCTTGTGATCATCAGCGCTTCTGCACTCAGCTGGGTCTTGTGCCTGTCTTGCCTCACTTGCTCACCTCTTGACCTTGCTTGTACTGTTACATATATATATACCTGCTCTTGCTTGTCTAGCCTTATATATATATATACATATATATATGTGTGTGTACTCCTGCATGTGAACTGGCCTTGTGGCCTTTAACTTGTGCTCGGAATGTGTGGTGACTTTGTGATCCACCCTGAGCTTGCTTTGCTTTGCTTTACTTGACTGGTCTTGTGACCCCTAGTTCTCCCCCACTTCGCCTATGGGGGTGTGTCAAACATCATATATGTTGTGCTTGTTTAGGCTACAGAGGGTTAGCCTATAGGGGGTACACAATTCCAGGGTTAGGTACTTGTACTGATTTCACTGTTAGTTCATTCATTCCTGCTTGTTCATTTCAACAGTAACTTTTTGTGAGTGCAGTCAGCGATGTCGACATGAATAAGACACAATGAATTGCACACACATGGTGGCGACTATGTCGGAGTCCGACATATCTGGTTCGGATGTATGTGTTGGATCATGTATGTTCGTGTTGTATCACCATCAACATGTACAATGGGATCACTACGGTTTGCTCAATTAGGGCATCAGCAACCTACGCTAACACATATGCACCGAGGATCTTCATGCCGACTTCTTGCGCTTTGTCGGAGGACGCTGCGCAGGTGCTGTCTGCTTGGCCAAGTCGGCCACGGTCTTTGGCATCTGCACCTCTTAGGTGTCTGGAAACAGGCGGTCGACCCACGTCCTCGGCTTCAGCTCGAGCGCCACCAGCGCACAGGCGAGGCGTAGCTTCGAGACCACCTTGGGGGCAAGCCCCTTGACGCCCATGCCAGGCTCCTTGGACATCGTCGGTGCCGTCTCCGGGTTGAGCACCGTGAGGGCATCGCAAAAGGTCCCAATGCTCGGTGCCGCAATCGTGTTCAGTGCATCGACCACGGCTTCGGTGTCAGCATCGCCGTCGCTCGCGCGTAGCTGGCGCACCGTATCCATGGCCTTCAGCATGCGGCACACCCTCATATTGAGTGCACCCTGCGTTGCGCCTTTGAGGAGGGTGTGGCGGTCGATGAACCCTGGCTCGGCGACCCTGTCGCAAAGACAACTGGTGTCATTGGCGGTGGCGGAGTTCGAGAGGCGCCAAGCGTCCCGCACGGTCTTTACCTCCCGCCAAGGTTGCACCACGTTGAGCTCGTAACTGGCCTTCTCTACCATCTGGAGGGGTGGCGGGGGTTTCCCATAATCTCTCTTGGCTCCGGTCCCCGTGTTGGCCGAATCCGCGGAGCCACCCTCGCTTGGAGCTTGCTCGGTCGCCAACGGCGGCGCCGCCGGCATCCTCCGGGCTTCTGACACACGGAGTGCCTCGATGACTCGAGCAAGCTCAGCGGTGAGCGACGCGATGGTGTCGTTTTGCATCTCGATCGTCTCCTGAAGGCCTAACTTCCCGAGCGCCGAGCACTCGACCTCCTTCTTCAGCGCCTCCTTGAGGGACATGTTGTGATACTGGGTGTCCATGCGGACGGATATTTCCTGCAATGTTGAGTGTGCGGAAAGGCGACAAGAGGTTAGAATTCACTGGTATTCGAACGACGCCGACATGGTCGGCAACTCACCTCCGGCTGAATCTGAGTCGGGTCCCGGCGCTTTTTGATCGTATCGGTGTCGACCAACTCGACCCTTTTCGCCCAGTGTTGGAAGAGGGAAATCCTGCAAAGCTTGGAAACTTGGACGTACGGGCGCCACGGTGTGCGGACGAGCTTCACCGCGAGGTCCTCGGCGATGATGCGTCGGAACATCACGAGGGTGCGCAAGAAGTGCACTGCGGCTTTGTCGGCGTCGATCCCGTTGACGGCACGCGTCTCCGCCTGCAAGTCGGAAAGTTGCGTGGGTTAGTAGGGAGTTGGGCAGCCAACTAGGCCACGACGACTGAAGAACATTGTCGGCGTCGCGTGACATACATCGCGCAGCATAGCATCCACGCCGGGGAAGATGTGCTCGGCGAGGAGGTCCAGGAGTTTGTTGGAGGGCTCGACCCTGCTGCACCCCAAGAAGTAGTCTTGCTTGAGTCCCGAGTAGCCGGCCTTCCGCATCACCACCCTAACGGGAATGGCCGTGATGTACGCACGCGTCATCTTGTCGAGAGCCCAGTGTCCCAGCTCGGCGATCTCGGCGCACGGCGTCCCTCCGATGGCTAGCTCCTGCGCACCTCCGGCGCGGGCGACGTGCACGTTCCTTTTGCAGAACACCTTGTTGGTCGTCCACATCTGCCGGGTCCAACGTTGGTGGGTGGCGGCGGGGAGCTCCTCCTGCTCCTTGTCATTCTTGGCGAAGAAGAGATGCTTCTTGTACCAGCGTTCGTGTTCAGTGGTGTCAAGCGGTGGAAGGAAGTCGGTGCCGGAGAACTGACCGATCTGGTCGATGATGAAGTGCAGCCACAGGCCGGTCTCGCCGACGGCGCACAGCTCCGCTTCCAGGTGTTGCGCCGCGTAGCTCTGCTGAAGACGGGCATCCTTGGAAGTCTTCAAGTTACGCGCGGCGATCACCATGATGGCCGACTGGCTATTCGGGTTCACCTCCGAGGTGCTCGCCAGGTGGTACAAGAAGACGTCGGGGAGCGTGATCTTGCGGATGCTGGCGCCGTGCAGGAGAGAGAGTGGTGGGAGAGTAGCGTGAGCACCTTGACGAGCAGGAATCGCCACAGCGTCTGCGACGGAGTGGTTGCCCGCGGGTTCCACGCCGCCGCCGCCCATGTCGGCAGCACCTTCATCATGATCTGGCGGAACTGCTCGGCGGTGTAGGTATCGCCGATGGTGCCGCGTCGACGGTCGGCGCAGTTTCTGAACGCAAATCGGTGGGGAAAATCGGTTAGACTGCGTCGAATTCATAGTGCACCGTGATATAGAATAAGGTTGTCGACCAACTTACTTGATGTCCCTCTCATTCTTGTGGTGGACGTTGAACCGCACCTCCGATCTGACCACTGAGATCTCCCTCATGATGCCCAGCTCCTTCTCTCGGTACAGCGTCGCCTCCACCCTCGCCGCCATCTGGCATGCCTTTATGCGCCCGAGGATCGTGTGCACAGTTGTCGACCTCACAGGCCCGGTTCGCGTGGCATTGTTCTCCTCCCCGGGCTGGTCAACAATGAGGTTACACTCACGGCTCATTTGCTTCACGTAGGCGCGCAGCCGGGTTTCGGTGACCCTAGGGCCGTGCAGCCAGATGTACTATCGGCGGACCACTTTCTCGTTGCACCAATCCTTTTTCTTGTTGTCGCGGATGTAGTGGCCGATCTCGTCGACGTGCCTAAGTCGTTGCTCATGGGGTAGCTTGTCGCGTATCTGCTTCATCATCTTCGCCGCCCACTTCTTGAAGTGATAGATGAACGCGGTGTACAGCCTGAGCGTGCTATCCTTCTCCAAGCATTGTAGGTGGCGTAGGGCATCCATGACGAGCACGTCGATGCTGGAGTACACCATGTCGTCCACTACAAAGTCTGTCGCCTTCCACTCTTCGCGCGGCACCGCCATGTGCTGATTGTCCTCCTTCTCGTCCTATTCAAGCATGTCATGTATGTATTCAAATTCCCGCCTAAGGCGTTCTTCCAAGGTGCGCGGATTCGTGCTACGCGGAGGACGGTCGTCGACATCGTCGTCGCTCTCTTCCTCGTCCTCGTCGTCGTCATCACCTTGGTTTTCCGAGCCGGCCGGCACCGACGAAGGTCCAGGCTGCCCATCTGACGTCGGCGTCGACTTCTTCGTAAACTCCCTTATTGGCGGATTTGGTATGTTCTTGGTGTACTCCCCTTCGGGAATCTGATTCAGTTTGTCAAGATCGTAAAGCAACTTCAGCGTCTCTTCGGGGGCAGAGGACGGACTATGGTCGGTTGGGGTACCAACGTCGGGCATGTCGACGTCGTCCATGACCGCTCGTATGCTCTACCGCCGGCCGTGGAAGAGGGAAAGATTGGTAAACCAGAGACGGTAATGATTCACGGGTGCGGTGTACGCCCTAATCGTCCTGCGACGGTCTTCCTCGAATTCCCTCTCAAGTGCTTCTAACTCAGCGTCGACCTCGAGTCGTTCCAGTTGTGCTTTGATGTCGACGTCTACCGAATCGGCGGGGGGTGGGATAAGTTGCGGCTGTTGGGCACTAGGCCTTCCTCTGGCCATGCGTCCCCGACTCGGTAAGGTTGGGAGATGCTATCGTCGCCCTGATCTATCGTCGCCGACTTTCCTAGATGACGACCTAGAACCTAGTAAGGCGAAGTCGACGATGGTCGACCCCAACACCGACCTATGTGAGTCTATTCCAGGTCGACGCCTGTGTGCCGCCGCTCGGTCGACTCGGCCGTCGAGTAACCTACACCCGCAGAGATAGCGAGGGTCCTGTGAAGAAAACGAAGTGCCAGATGGCGCACGGGAGCATGAGAGAAACACGAAGCTGAACCAGCAGAATGAGAGCGTTGTGCGTGGTCAAGGAGGGGTATGGTTGCGAGCCACTGCGCACCTGCCGTGCTCCACGCAGCCCTCTTTGCAAGCGCCGCTGTGCACATGCATGACGTGTCACGATCGATGCATGTCTAGTGTCACGCCGCTCTGCGCTCAACGGCACTCCCGTCGGTGCCTTGCCACGGTGGATTGCACGTGCGCCACGTGCAATTGGCCGATAACCTAGTTCCACTCTCCTGAAATGCCGTAGCGTCCTGCTCTCCCGCGCAAACCTCATCGACCTGCGAGTAGGCGCGTGGCAGGAGGGTTGGTCGACGCCGACATTCCCTGAGTCTGGGGCTCTCTTCGCCTATGCATAGTTTGGTCCGCTCAGATTACTCCGCGTGGGTCGTGCTGCTGCGGTTGGATCTTCGGGCGACACCGACATCTCAATACCCCGCTTTCTTTGGCTATCTAGGTGGTGGACACATGTACATGCCCTAGCCAGTCGTCTTTCGCTGCGTGGACGATGGTGACATTTTTCATCGGAGCGCCAAGTTTCACGCGCAGCGAAATATACCCGGTGGTGCAAAGCGAGGCCACGTCGGCGCCGTCGTGGCACCTCCCGATTGTCAGGCTCGATCTCGGCCGTCCCTACTAGGCCACGTGGCCGTAATCGCGGCTCGGCGCACGACGTGTCGAGCTGTGGTTCAGGGTCCGCTGAGATATCCTTCTCGGGTTTCTCTCAGCGAAACCTGAGCTCGTCAGATTGTCGACAATCCCGAGGGATTCAGGGCCCCGGAGGACTGCCAGCTCGCCCCAGTTTGCCACTCACAGGTCGTCAGGAGCTCGTTAATCCCGAGGGGGGCCCTTGTCCCATTTTAACCGCGAAATTGGGCGGCGTCTTTCGTCGGCTGAGGTATATCATCCCGAACCCCTCAGCTCCCATGTTCGTAAAGACTACTCTCGTGCACAATTGCATGATGTGATTGAAAATTCAGGCTTTTGTTTTCCGGAACCCTGAAAATTGAGGCTTTTTTTTTAAGGAACCCTGAAAATTCAGGCATTTTTTCACAGGGACCCTGATGCATCAATGTCCCTAAAAGTGAATCTGAGGGCCTGATGGCTTTCCCTGCGACACCAAGCCATGCGAGCAAGTGAAGCCCTGCGGACAGCACCTGATGGGTCTATGGTTTGGCACATCTACCATTCAATTTGCTGACCGCGCTAACAACACGTTGCTGTGAAACAAGAGTGCAGCGGTTACAGCAGCAAAAGCGTGCCGGTTACAACAGCAGGAGCGCGGCAATTAAAGAAGCAGGAGTGCGGGCAGGAGTGCGGCTACAGCGGCAGGAGTGCGGTTACAGCAGCAGGAGTGCGGTCACAGCAGGAGTGCAGCTACAGCGGCAGGAGTGCGGTTACAACAGAAGTAATGCGGTGAGAGCCAGGCCAATGGAGGCAAGCAGGTGGAAGATGGAGGCAGTGGCTCCTGCAGGAGAATGGAAGAACCAAAGAGGGGGATCTTAGAGTTATCAAGTGGCACTGTATAAGAGGAATACGTCTAGATTGTTTGGATTACTTAGATGCATCGTGCGTGCATGCAAGCGCATGTGTGTGTGCGCGTGCAAGTGTGTGTGAGTGTGTGTGTGTGTGTGTGTGTGTGTGTGTGTGTGTGTGTGTGTGTGTGTGTGTGTGTGTGTGTATGTGTGTGTGTGTGTGTGTATGTGTGTGTGTGTGTGTGTGTGTGTGTGTGTGTGCGCGCGCGTGTGCGTGTGTGTGCGCGTGCGTGCATGTGTGTGAGTACGTGCACTGTGCATGTGTACGTACCGGCATACGCGCCAAGGGCATCCACGTTATAAGGCATAAGAACATGATGGCTCTGGTAGACCACGACCTCGCTGCTGGGAAAATCATCCACCAAACGTACTTGATCCACCGAAGAGGTTGCATACGGGGTTCCATCATTCACCACATAGCCGTATTCGTTGATGATCTTGCTTCTCGGAAGCTGCGAGCTAGCCTTTTGCTGAGGAGACATGCCCGAGAAGTTCCACATGCCGCGATGCACCGGATTGTACGACATCCAGAGAGGCTGTCCCTGCATTGTTGCGAGCTCCCAATATCCGTCGATAGATGAGTACTGGCACTAGGGGGTATAGAGCAGCGGGGAGGGCGAGACGGTTGAATAACGAGTCATCTGAAAAGAAAACGTGACTACGGTACGGTGGGATGGGATGTCGCGGTGGGATCCGTTCTCAGGCTCTCAAATACGAGGACCACTGTCATTTCCTACTTAACAGTCACTCCAAAACGGAGTGACTCCATTTTCTACTTTACAGGCCTTGTTGGGAAGCTTGATTCGCCGGGATTACTGCACTCCCGTTCTTCCATATGCGTAAACATGTTCAATGCGGTCCACTGCAGTCTATTTCGGCCCACTCCGGTCCAGGCATGATGTACGGCGGTTCAGATTATCCCCTTCTGCTTTGCGACTTCGAATGGGATGTACTGCTTCACAATATGAAACCTCCAGATGCGTGAACATACACTGCAGATCCACTGCGGTCTACTGCGGTTTACAGTGGCCCACAGCGTTCCACTGCGGTCCAGTCATGATAGACGTACCTTCTGCTTTGCGACTTCGAGCGGGATGTACTGCTTCACGATCTGAAACTTCCAGATGTCCAGCATCGCTTTGTCAACCGCAGTGGAGATGTACATCCCGATGACCCACTTATCCCCGGGGTACATGGTCGCGTTGTACATGAGTGTGAGCGCGTCGGCGATCGCCTGGTCAAACTTGCGCGTGGCGTTATCATGCTTGGGGTAGTTCTCATACGCGGTGTACAAGGCGTCGAGCGACGGGAGGAGTATCGTCACGTTGGAGATGTCTGTAGTACCGTCCAGCTCGAACAGATCCATCATGAGTTCAATATTACTGTTGTATGGCTTGAAGGGTGATTGCAACTTGGTCACAGGAATTGCGCGGGTGGTGACGGATAGCTGGGCGAGCAACGCGGCCAAAAACAGCAGGGCCACTCCGGTGGCGCCAAAAAGCTGCCCTGAAAATGAACTGGCCACCGCGGTTGTATTCTCTAGAGGTGACGATTGCGGGAAAGATAGGCAAATGATAAAACGAGAGGCGAAGAAATGACGAGACCTTGTATATGTGGCGATGGGCAGTCTCGATGGAGTCGAGGAGGAGGATGGAGATGCACGACAAAACATGCACGATGCGCGACACAATTACGATCCACCAATCGCAGGCAGTGGATAGGTCAAGAAAGTGTTTGACTTTTCATCGCTGCACGTAACTGTCAGCCTTGCTGACAGCAGTGCAAGGTTGCCTGCGTGGGCCCTCCACAGATAGTTGACCCGAACAAAACGGGCCAGCGCAACTGGTTCGGGAGGAGCTGGCCATTCACGCAGCGGCATATATTTGGCGGCCGCATTCCCGATTGGTCGTACGTTATCCTGCTGGCATTCCCTAGACTTTTACAACCTAGACCACAAGGAATCTGTATCCTTACGAACCGACCCGGCTTAACTGAAGGCGAGAAAGACTTAGAAATTAAAAACAATAAAACAACGACTATACAATCTATACATTTTACAAAACATGCTAAGCAATTCTAGATGCATCTCTAGCGAACAAAGTTGATATGAAATATATATATATATATATATATAACTTCAAACAATTGAAAATCCATATAGAATGCACAACATATCGGAGGAGAGAAGGGGACGGACAAACACACACCAAGGACATGACAGCAGACAATGCGGCAGAAGCTGCTGCCACTTCAGGCTACAGTAGCTGGAGAGTTGGCCCTTGCAATTGGGACCTGAGTGGGGAGGCAAAGAAGCGAAACAAGAATAGGTAGACGCGTCATCCATCCATTGCACATACCGTAAGAAACATGTGTGAACAATTGTCATGAATATTTGTGTGTGCCAAAGAGGATATGTACCGGTGGGTGCGTTTGTCTGTGTGTACTCATGCATGTAAGCAAGTGTGGGTTAACACAAGGTGCACTCACAGCAAGCAATTAAAAGAGCTAAGCCGCATATATAACACCCCTCCCCGGCCAACAAAC